AAATAACATTGCAACCCCCCTGCAACTCCCTTTTGGGTCAGAACCCCCAGTTTGAGAAATGCTGAATAGTATAGGGTAAAAGCACACAAAAGACCAGATTTCTCGGGATGGGGTGGGAGGAGGGGCAGATTTCACAGCCTATGATGTGTTTTGAATGGCTGTAAATTTGGTACGGCCCTAGATAGATTGTTAGTGAATGCAGTTCTTTCACTGACATTGTAAGAAGACTGTATTATTGCCAGAATTTTGTACAGTATTCTTATTAGGCATAATAGTTCACCGAAAAGTGGCATGTAACAGCTCTACTGAGTGCTAATTGACCACAGGTCGACATAATATTATTTAAGGAGTTATGCTATACAGAACATTATGTTCTTATGGTCTTGGAATTAAGGCAGGACACCAGGAGGTGGCGTGCCTCAGAAATGTTCCTTTCAGGCAAGAGATAACACACACCTATCTCCCTGTCTGGTCATTTGTGTATTGTATACCTCACAATTTATGCCTATTTGTACTGAGCCACAGGCTAAATAAGTGATTGCAAAATCTATGAGAGGAAGTCTACAAAATGAAACAAACAGCTGGGCATGTCCTGTTTATGAATAAAGACAAAGGATAGGACTTGGTATATCTTGAGGGGCAAAAAAAACACACTGGATCCTTCACCTAGGAAGCTGATACGTCTGTCTCACAAAAGGAGGGTCACCGCAGCTTAGCTATAAAACTCCACAAGGATTTTGGAGCGAGACAAATTCTACAAGATATGAGAGTATCTAGTCAGTCAAGTCTAGGCTCTAAATGCATGTTAAGTTTGTATTTTATACGTAACCATTTGTCTCCAAAACATCTACTTGCCATTTCTTGAATCTCTGTCCTTTGTTAAATAAACGTATACCTCATTTCTCCGAAAACAAATCTAAGCACTGTGTATCAAGCAGAGTGGGGATCTGGGGTGGAACTGATAAGCTGGGGTGTACAGTTGCTTTGGGAACAGTGAATCTGTGAATGCTGCACATGACCAGTGGTCCAGGGGCAGGATACTTCAGGGAAAGGTTTGGAGGTCTTGAGGGGTGGACTGTGCCTATTCCTAACCTGTAGAGTCACAGCAGAGCCTGCAAAGGCCTAGAGGGCAGTGCTTGTGTTGCCTGCGGGGTAGAGGAGAAGATCCCCAGCAGCCAGAGACAAGGCTTTCTCACGCTAAGGGCAAGTACAAGGTGCCTCACTGCCCTGGGTACTCCCAGGAAGCATCAGAGCATTTAGCATGGCAGCTGGTGTTTTGACACCTAGGGCCCAACACCAAACGTTTTATACACATTCCATTTTTTGTAGAAACAAATAATTACATCATTCCTGATAGATCTGTAGGTTAGATTTCAATTCACCACAGCTGAAGTTGTCAGGACTTCTGGTTCCAAAAAATTAGCATTTGCAATGGAAAAGCCAATTCACATTAATAATGCTGGAGCAAAAGAGTTCTTAAGCGATGATGAGCAAATGAAAAAGCTGATCTGTGGAAAGTCTGGCAATGAGGACAACCCTACGTAACACTATCACAAGGATTAGCGTGAAAAAAAACTACAGTGAGCAAACTATGCCACAGATGGGAAGATAAAGGGCCAGCCTTACTCCTTCCACTTCAGCCATGGCACAAAGCAGGGTAAACTGACCCTAACAGGTCACCTGAAAATTACTCAGGTGTGGTGGAGTTCTCAGCTGGCATGAAGCAGAATAGCTGGCTCCTACCCCAGCTGTCCCCTGCCCTCCATTCTGATACAGACTGCATGTCTGGATGGGAGAGAGTGTCCGTGGGATGAAGCAGAGCAAGATGCACTCTGCCAGTTCTGTACAGACGTATGGTTCCACAGGGATCGTATCCACTGGCATAAATCAGAGCAACCTCTAGGCTGCTTTAGTTTGTCCCTGGGCACACGATGAATTATAAAGGCATAACTGGATCTCCGATCCCGCAACTCTACACATACATTTGCCGAGTGCATCTTGGAAGAGTAACAAATCTGTTCCCAGATTCCCAATGTTCCCAATACTTTGCATTTGAAGTTATTAGAGTTGGTTGGAAATTCTGAGAATGCTGATGCATTGAAATTGAAACATTTCGTGGAGTTGGTTTGTTTTTAACAAATTTGCAGTGGAAATCTACCTGTTTTCCTGCCAGCATGCCCACATGGCTCTTGGCAGGATGGCAGCTTTCTTTGATGGGGGGAAGCGGTAGATGTGGTATATCTTGATTTTAGTAAGGCTTTTGATACGGTCTCATAGGACCTTCTCATAAACTAGGGAAATACAACCTAGATGGAGCTACTACAAGGTGGCTCAATAACTGGTTGGAAAACCGTTCCCAGAGAGTAGTCATCAGTGGTTAACAGTCAAGCTGAAAGGACATATGGAGTGGAGTCCCGCAGGGATCAGTCCTGGGTCCAGTTCTCTTCACTATCTTCATAAATGATTTAGATAATGGCATAGAGAGTATATATATAAAGTTTGAGGACCATACGAAGCTGGGAGGGGTTGAAAGTGCTTTGGAGGATGAGATTAAAATTCAAAATGATCTGAACAAACTGGGAAATGATCTGAAGTAAATAGGATGAAATTCAATAAGGAAAAATGCAAAGTACACCACTTAGGAAGGAACAATCAGTTGCACACATACAAAATGGGAAATGACTGCCTAGGAAGGAGTACTGCAGAAAAGGATCTGCGGGTCAGAGTGGATCAAAAGCTAAATATGAGTCAATAATGTAACACTGTTGGAAAAAAAAAAGCAGCAAACATCTGGGATGTATTAGCAGGAGTGTTGTAAGCAAGACATGAGAAGTAATTCTTCCACTCTACTCCAAGCTGATAAGGCGTCAGTTGGAGTATAGTGTCCAGTTTTGCGAAAGATGTGGACAAACTGGAGAAAGTCCAGAGAAGAGCAACAAAAATGATTAGAGGTATAGAAAACATGACCTACCAAGGAAAAGTGAAAAAATTGTGTATATGTGATAAACAGTAACAGTTTTCAAATACATAAAAGGTTGTTACAAGGAGGAGGGAGAAGAATTGTTCATCTTAACCTCTCAGGCTAGGACAAGAAGCAATGGACTTAAATCGCAGCAAGGGAGCTTTAGGTTGGACATTAGGAAAAACACTGTCAGGGTGGTTAAGCACTGGAACAAATTGCCTAGGGAGGTTGTGGAATCTCCATCATTAGAGATTTTTAAGAACAGGTTAGACAAACACCTGTCAGGAATGGTTTAGTTATTATGTAGTCCTGCCATGATTTCAGGAGGCTGGGCTAAATGACCTGTTGAGGTCCCTTCCAATTCTACAGTTCTATGATTCTATGACAGGGAGCCAACAGCCTGGAAGCCCTGAGAGCTCCAGCTCCTAAGCTCTCATCCCAGGCTCTTCTGAAACTCAGCTAGTGGGCTGCCACTGAGTGGGGCTCCCAGAATCTTGGTTCCCTTTCAGCCCATCAGGCGATCTGATGAGGAACCAGGAACCTGGAAGCCATGTTCCAAATATCTGAGGCCCTCAGGTTAGCCAGGACTCAGAGCGCTTCCAGACACCTGGCTCCTCTACAGCTCACCAGGCAGTCTGACAAGGAGCCAGAACCTGGAACCTGGAAGCCCTGGGAGCTCCAGCTCCCAGCTCAGCCAGGGCAGGCCTGCAGATTCCCAATTGCCCTTCAGCTCACCAGTCTGACTGAAGAGGAAGTAGCTTGGAAGAGTTAGCTCCCAAATTCCTAGGCTTGTAGCTTCTCAGCAGCCTAGGCTCCCAGGGTCCACGGCTCCAGGGCAGTCCACCATCCTGACTGCCCCAGAGCTGGGTCACCTGTCCCTTTCATGGGAGATTGTGAAATGTTTGAATTTTATTCCAAATCGGCTTTCAAAATATCAAAATCCTCCGCAAAATGGAATTACCTTTCCCCAGCCCGCTGTACCCTATGCCAGACAATCCGCATACACCTCCAGACGATTGTAAGAGGAAAAAAAACATGCCACTGACAGTGAATTTTGAAGGCAAGATCAGAGGTTTAGGGTGCAAGATGGCTCACAAAGGGGGTCTATAACTAGGCTTCTTTCTGAAAAAACTGCTCCCTCTGCTACAGCTCCAGTCACTTGGCAATGCTAGTGCAGGAAAGGCTCCTATGGCTGCTGCTATCGGTTTTAAAACCATTCTATTTGGCCCTGTTCTGACCAAGTTTCAATGATGTGGTAGTAAAAGCACTGGCAGCTGCCAGAGCCTCGTCTAGCCTAGCACTCCTGATGTCGCTACCACCCGTGCAACTGCACCTGGGATAACAATGCAGTGAGATCTGTCAGGAAAAAAAAAAAAGTCTTGTGTTGACAAGGTAAAAGCTTAGACTTGCTAAGGAACCCTAAAGGAACTTATGAACTAAAACTCAAACTGAAATGACAGACCAGGGATTTCAAACCTAAAAAGTGACCATTTGGAAACAATATTTCTTTTCTCAATTTCAATATACTGCTTGGCTAACAGTGAGAGTTCACTGCCACTTTATAATATTGAAGACCGAATAACTAAAATAATAATACTTAGCTCTTATATAGCATTTTTCATCAGGCGATCTCAAGGTGCTTTACAAAGGAAGTCAGTATCTTTATCCTTGCTTTTGTTGAACTTACTGAGGCACAAAATGATTCAGTGACTTGCCCAAGGTCACTCAGCAGGCCAGTGGCAAAACCAACACTAGGTTTCCTGAGTCCCAACCCATTGTTCTATCCCTAAGACCACACTGCCTGTCCCAATCTAATTTCCAGCACTCACTGAATGATCCAGATTTAACAATACAGTATATCAGACTGAAAGGAGCAGTGAGAATAAGCAGGCTTCCATCATGAGTGTCATCCTGCCACAGTCCAGCTTTCCTTTCTCACTGAACATCAGTAATATACTTCTGTCCATTTCTGACCATTTTTGTAGGCTTTGCCAATACCCATGGCGTCACATGATCCAAGACATTTATGTTTCCTTACCTCAGCTTGTATGGAGGGATCTTGGTAGCAGCAGCATCAGAAGATTCCAAAGTTTCTGTATGAGTGAAGGAAAGAATAAGAATGTTAAAGGAGACAATGTATTCAGGATCTAGATACTGTACATTTCCACAGTTTTGAATTATTGTTCCCAAACCTGACTCCTATCAATAGCACTGACAGTTAACTTACAACTTATAATTTCAAAAAATTCTCTGTGGGCCTCATCCTGTGTGAGGTATTGAGTGCTTTTCTCATTGTAGGGAGCCCTTCTAGATGTCAGCATGGTGACATATACAGGACCCTGGAACAGGGTAGTCTATCTACAAACTTGCACCAAAACAGCAGCAGCTGTGGATTACAAATGATTTAATTATTTCAGTCCAAGTCTGTGTGCGGACACTGTTCCAAAATCAGCTTGTATTAGGTGAATTGAAATGTACTGTTTCTTTTGTTTTTTCAGTGCAAATATTTGTATTCAAAAATAAAAAGAAAGTGAGCACTATACACTTTGTATTCTGTGTTGTAATTGAAATCAATATATTTGAAAATGTAGAAAACATCCCAAAATATTTAAATAAATGGTATTCTATTATTGTTTAATCATGCAATTAATTTTTAAATCACTTGACAGCCCTTGTATAGATCAGCCCCACCACTGACTTATGTTGCTTGAACTCTCTCTCGAGTCACAACCTCTCTCTGAAAATTTGTGTGCAGCTCATTACACTTGGTTCATTTTCACTAAAACAGGCACTCATTTTATTAGGTAGTTAACAAGGTATGTGCAGTGAGGTGCTCTCAGAACTGACCTCTTACCATAAATTAGCGGTTGAGAAGTCACAGTACAAAAAAGTTGCATTGTAACAGAAAGCACATTCATCAAAGGACACCTTATGTATGAGCTCACTGAGAACTAAGAAAAAATACTTCCAATGTACTGTACTTGGTATACAGCCCAACCAGCCTTATCCTTGTATGGAAGATACATATTTTTAAAGAATTCAGTGTTATCGTAGACTGAATGGTTGCATGTTATTAAAACAAGCAGTGGTTCTGCAATCATCTTGTTTGCTCAGCATCTCTATTGCTGGCACTTTAGACTAGTAAAATATTTCTTCTCTTTCCAGTGAAATAACTTAAGGGTCTACCAAATCTTCCTCTCAAAGAAAGGTGTTAATAATTCCAATGTGATCACCAAACACACAGTTCCCTTAATATAAACACTAAAAAAATCCATAAAATATGCTTACGGTGGTTTGAGTCTGGAAAGGGGAAAACTACATATCAAATGAAAAGCAAATGAATAGCTGTTTATACACGTATTTATATTGTGCCAGTCACAGTCCTGTCTAGGTACCAATATGAAAATATGGATTTCCTCTGAAATCACTGGGCTCTAGCAAAGCACGGTTTGGCCACACAGGGCAACCTGTACTTTTAAAAATGACATCAGATGATTGAATCACAACATATACATTTGAGGGATAACAGTAAGTAACCTGCCAATGAAACGTAAGTGTATTCATTTTTTATTCTCTCTAGTTTTAACATATCATGTGATTCACAGCAATTAGAATGCATCTGAACTTGAGATGATGATGCACTGAAAATAGTAAAATCAAAAGCATTTTTTTTTTTTTTTACAGAAGGGACATTAGCTTGAGAGATGAGTAATTCCTCTACCCAGAAGTACTGCAACCTCAACAGCTGTCCTCATTAAGTCATTATATGTCCTTTTCAAATTTCATTAGCAGTAGTTAACAGCCTTTCATATGTTAATAGCTAACCCTATACAGTCTATGCTGGACCACCTCAGCTCCCCAGTGCTGTGTCAACCAGGCACTCTTTGGGTCATTCCCTTCTGAACAGTTTTACAACGAAAGCCTGACAAAAGAATTTACTTACCTGGCAACTAAGGCAAATGCAACAAACCTAATTTCAATAAAACCAGTGATGCTACAAGTGCAAGGAAACTGCCTGCAGTGGGCTCACATCAGCCTTCCAGCAGTGGTGAACCACTGAGTCATATACCTGCAAGCTCATATATGCAGCTCGAAAAACAGATCATTAAAAGCAATCCTACTTAAGCCTGTCTGCGCCCGGGCTGGAAAAGGAAACACTGCAGACAGCTCGGCTTTCCTGAACGACTGGAGCTCACGCTGAAGGCCAACAAATCGATAGCAATATGTACGTTAGAGCCTCCAAAGGGGGGTCGGGGGGAGGTAAAAATACTTTAGCACAGCTATGGCTTGGGGTGCCTTTAAATCAATGGGGGAAAGGTAGAGATTTCGCAGGCACCGCGCGTGCACGGGGGGGGACACACTGCAAATACATTAACAGCGTATCCATAATGGGAGCCGGGCGAAGCAGGGGGCTGCCTGCGCTCTGTCGCGGGGGCGGGATGGGGCAGGCGCCCCCTTGCCTTGCCCGCTTCCTTACCAATGGCCCAGCCGCAGCTCTCCTTGATCGCTTTGTGTTTGTTCCCCGACGCTTCCTTCTGCAGCTTCCTCAGGATTTCTTCCATCTTGGCTCCGCCAGGGACGCTGCACCCCGCGCCAAGGAGACGGCGGGGCAGAGAGCGGGGCTGGCCCCTGGCCCGGCTCTAAGCGGGGACGGGGCGCAGCATCCCGCTCCGGGCGCGCCGCTGCTGTGGATGAATCACGCTGAGCTCCATGACGGAGACACGTCATGTGCCGCCGCCGCCTCCCCCCACCCCTTGCCGGCTTCCCCGGTGGTCAGGTCCCTGCGGTGCCGCCGGGCTGCGGGAGGCGGCGCTGCGGCCGCGAGGAGGCCGGCGGGGCTCCGGGAGAAGGTGGCCGAGGATTGGCTGGCCGGGGAGGGGGCGGCCCGCGGCGGGAGAGCGCGCGCAGGCGGCGTGGCCCGGCTGTGGCGCGGGGCACGCCTGAAGTGCGGGTCTCTCCGCTCCAAACGTAGGGCCCTGTGACTACGTGGCTCAGGGGCGCGGGGGGAAAAGCCGGCTCTGAGGCACAGCGGAGGGCTTGCCGACAGCACAGCCCCTTCCGCCCACTCCCTTGACGCCTTTGAGGCGCGGTGGGCGCTGTCCGAGGTTCTCTGCTTGGTGACCCCCTCTGGTTCCCTCCGTCTGACCCTTTGATTGAGGGGAAGAGGGAGAGACCCCAGCCCCAGCCCTTGCCGCTGTGGGTACCATCACCACCGCCACCTAGGAGGGGCCCTTTCACACGTGAGTGGACGTCCTGTCCTCCCCCCACCCCAAACTGCCCGCCCTGCGGCCATGCCCATATTGTCGGGCATTCTCAGGAGAGGAATAGTTGGTGACACCGGGCGTGGCCCTAGGTAACTCGAGGGAGTGGAAGACCATGAGTGTCGAGGAAGCCCCCCAACTCTGGGCCCAGGCAAGCCTGAACACTTCTCTCCCCTGAAGGCTGCTGTGTTATACATTGCCTTTGCTTTTGTTTTGTTGCATAGTTTTGTTTTATCTTCTTTGGTGATTTGTGTAAATGTGTTACGCAATTAAATTTTTTTCTGCTTCAAAAAAAAAAAAAAAAAAAGACAGCACAGCCCCTAGCCACAGTGAACTGTCACGACGCTTGTTGCCATTCCCTGCGCATTTCCAGCCCAACGCGGTCGCCTCCTCTTGCCGTCCCTGTGTGCGCCGGCAGCATTGAAACGCTCTCCCTGGAGATTACTTAGGGCACTAAGAAACCCCCGGCCTGTTTTCATTGTGCATTTAGGGCCGCCTAACCCTGCTGCCTTTGATGTCGGTGGCCAAAATCTCACCGTTTTCAGTGGGATAAGGAGCAAACCGTAAATACCTAACAATTCCCTGTTGTGTGCTTGCGGCATTAGCTTAAAGGAATAGTGTCCATCTTGAAACCATAAGTTGTAAATAAAGCATTAAAATGCCCATACTGGGTCAGAGCAAAGGTCTATCTAGCCCAGTATCCTGTCTCCAAGTGGCCAATGCCAGGTGCGTTAGATGGAGTGTACAGAACAGGGCAATTTTAGAGTGATCCACACCACTGTCTTCCCCTGCCAGCTTCTGACAGTCACGGGCTTAGGTCCCCAAGCCTGGGGTTGCATCCCTAACTGTCCTGGCTAATAGCCATCAGTTGACGGACCGATCCTCCATGAACGTATCTAGTTCTTTATTAAACCCAGTTTTATTTTTGACCATCACAACATCCCATGGCAATGAGTTCCACATATTAATTGTGTGTTGTGCAGAGGTGAAAGTAAGCCGGTACGGCATACCGGTAAGAGCCAGTGAGCCGTACCAGGACCGGCTTTCCGAGAGGGCAATTTAAAGCCCTGGGGTAGTGGCAGTGGGGCTGCGGCGGGGATTTAAAGGGCCCTGGAGCTCCAGCCGCTGCTATCCCCACCCCCGGGGCCCTTTAAATCCCGGCCTGAGCCCTGCTGCCTGAGCCCTGGGGTAGCAGTGGCAGGGCTCTGGCGGGGATTTAAAGGTCCCCAGAGCTCCAGCCGCTGCTACTGCCCTGGGGCCCTTTAAATCCCGGCCTGAACCCTGCTGCCCGAGACCCAGGATAGCGGTGGCAGGGCTTTAAAGGGCCCTGGAGCTCCAGCTGCCGCTATCCCTCTGGGGCCCTTTAAATCCTGGCCTGAGCCCTGCTGCCCGAGCCCTGGGGTAGCAGCAGTGGTGGGGCTCTGGCAGGGATTTAAAGGGCCCTGGAACTCCAGCCCCCGCTACCCTCCTGGGACCTTTAAATCCCCGCCTGAGCCCTGCTGCCGAAGCCCTGGGGTAGCGGCAGCGGGGCTCCGGAGGGGATTTAAAGGGCCGGGGTGGGAGTGGCGGCTGGAGCCCCAAGCCCTTTAAATTCCCGCCTGAGCCCTGCTGCCCAGTCTCTGGGGTTGGGGTAGGAGTTGGGGGGGGGGGCGCTCTGGCAGGGATTTAAAGAGCCCCGGAGCTCCAGCCACCGCTACTGCCCCGGCCCTTTAAATCCCCACCGGAGCCCTGCTGCCGAAGCCCTGGGGTAGTGGCTACCAGCTGGTAGCTCGGGGGTGATTTAAAGGGCCCTGGGCTCCCAGCTGCCACTACTGCAGCTGGAGCCCTGGCCCTTTAAATCAAGATTTAAAGGGCCCCGGGGATTTAAGGCCCTGCCTCTTCTGGTTGAGGCCATGCCCCCTTCTCAGGGCTCCAGCGTAGGGGTAAGTCCTCGAACTTACTTTCACCCCTGGTGTTGTGTGAAAAAGTACTTCCTTATGTTTGTCTTAAACCTTCTGCCTATTAATTTAATTGGGTGACTCCTAGTTCTATATTGTGAAAAGGTGTAAATAACACTTCTCTAGTCACTTTTTCCACACTGTTCATTATTTTATAGATTTCTATCATATCTGTCTCTTTTCTAAGCTGAAGAATGCTAACCTTTTCACTCTCTCCTCATAAAGAAGCCATTCCATACCCTTGATTTTTTTTTTTTTTTTTTTGCTACCCTTCTCTGAACCTTTTCTAGGATTTCCTAGCCTGGGAGGAGACAGAAGGGGATGGACTGTGGCCGGAGAGCGAGCATGGTTGGCTGATCTCATGAGCAGAGCATTATGATATTTTCTGTCTTATTTTCTATCCCTTTCCTAATAGTTGCTAACATTCTGTTAGACTTTTTGACTAATGCTGTGCCCTGAGCAGAAGTTTTCAAACTATCTGCAGCATGTGTATTTATGTTCCTTATCAAATTCTTTCACCATCAAAAATCAATGTGTATTTTACCAATCTAATGGTCTGGTCACTGCTGATGCTCTTTGTTTACCTTGTGTTTTTTTCTTTGTTTGACTATGAAAATGAGTAAGGACAATTTCATTTGTTTATAATCAGTTTCACTGACATATATGTAGTGCTCCAAAGTTTGGGGTTGAAGCATTGCAAAGCAATGTTTAAGAAAGCTGTAGCTCACGAAAGCTTATGCTCAAATAAATTTGTTAGTTTCTAAGGTGCCACAAGTACTCCTTTTCATATTGTTTCCATTGGGCACCTTTTAAAAGTTGTGTGTACATTTGTCTTGGTTTTAGATTTTTTTAAAGTTTGTTTTATAGCATTTACTCTGGAGCCATATTTAGGTTACCATGTCTCTTTAAAATAATGAGTAATTAATACCTATCTCTTGTATAACACTTGTTTTTTGTGACTGTGTTCTGTACTTGCAGGAGTCTGAATTGTTAGATAACAATTATTATTTTTTCACTCTAACCACTATGTCTATAAACATGCTGTCTCAATGATGTAAGCCACTCTCCCAGCTTCCTGCATTATAGCAACACACCAGTACTGCTATAATTCAGATACCATCAAGACATCTGTTTTAGAGGACTTAGATTTGACCTTTAAATTGCTGTGCTTAGTAGGATTTCTTTGAAATTTGGTGTGCCTCAGGAGGGTGCAGGGTAAGATTAAAGATGCAGATTTGGAGTCATTTGAGCCAGAGATTTAAACCCCCCTCTGCCCCCAGAAAGCCATTTTTAAAAAATATTTCTAAATAATTTGTTTTTTTGCCTAGAGCTAAAGATCAAACTAGTTAAGTCCCAGGCAGACTGTGAAGAGCTACAAAAGAATCTCACAATACTGTGTGACTGGGCAGATGAAATTCAATGCTGATAAATGCAAAGTAATGCACATTGGAAAACATAATCCCAACTATAAAATGATGGGGTCTAAATTAGCTGTTACCACTGAAGAGAGAGATCTTGGAGTCATTGTGGATAGTTCTCTGAAAACATCCACTCACTGTACAGTGGCAGTCAAAATAGCTAACAGAAGGTTGGGAATCATTAAGAAAGAGATAGATAAGACAGAAAATATCATACTGCCTTTATATAAATCCATGGTACGCCCACATCTTGAATACTGTGTGCAGATGTGGTCGCCCCATCTCAAAAGATATATTGGAATTGGAAAAGGTTGAGAAAAGGGCAACAAAAATGATTAGGGGTATGGAACGGCTTCAGTATGAGGAGAGATTAATAAGACTGGGACTTTTCAGCTTGGAAAAGAGACGACTAAAGGGGGATATGATAGAGGTTTATAAAATCATGACTGGTATGGAGAAAGTAAAGAAGGAAGTGTTATTTATTCCTTCTCATAACACAAGAACTAGGGGTCACCAAATGAAATTAATAGGCAGCAGATTTAAAACAAACAAATGGAAGTATTTTTTAACACAACACACAGTCAGTCTGTGGAACTCCTTGCCAGAGGATGTTGTGAAGGCCAAGACTATAACAGGGTTCAAAAAAACAAGATAAGTTCCTGGAGGATAGCTCCATCAGTGGCTATTAGCCAGGATGGGCAGGGATGGTGTCCCTAGCCTCCATTTGCCAGAAGCTGGGACTGGCGACAGAGTTTGGATCACTTCATGATTACCTGATCTGTTCATTCCCTCTGGCGCACCTGGCATTGGCCACTGTTGGTAGATAGGATTCTGGGGTAGATGGACCTTTGGTCTGACCCAGTATGGCCATTCTTATGTTCTTATGATGAGGCGCAGCTCAAAATGGTCTCAATCTGTCAAGTTTTACACAAGGTAATACATGGCACCCATTAAATCTTTGGGGGACCCAAATTGAAAACAATATACACATTTTTACACTGCTCATGAAAAAACAGCTAAAAGGTTTCTATTCCCACCATTTTATATATATAAAACTTGGCTCTTGTAAGTGCTCTAAAATCTGAATGATTAATTAGCTTGCTTTGAAATTTGGTGTCCATTATAGAGGCACAGGGTAGCATTAGTGATCCAAATTTGGGATCATTTGACTGAGGGGTTCCTGAGTTAAAGGCCC